AGAAAGAAAGAAAGAAAGAAAGAAAGAAAGAAAGAAAGAAAGAAAGAAAGAAAGAAAGAAAGAAAGAAAGAAAATAAAAAAGAACAGAACCAAAGCATGTTTTTATCCATTACCATAAAGAGGGCTTGTGAATGCATGGTATTAGTATCCCAAAAGCTATTAAACTCCCTAGTGATGGGAAACAGATGGAAAATAAGACAAAAGAATTCACAACTCATGTTAGACTGAATTGAATTCCTTTAATTTCACACAATGAATAACATATGAATAGGATTAACTTTTTTTTTTCTTTTTTTTTTTTAGTTAAGTGCTCTATACTGTGCTAACCTGATTTGGTAGCGAAAAGACTGAGCTTTGTTTTAGAAAAAAATGTTTAAAAACCAACATCTAAGATCATGAAGGAGCATGACATTAAAGCATGCCAGATGTATCTAAGCCTCAAAGAACATCAAGTCCATATCCATTTTTAAATGTACAAAAATGCTTCATGAATAAAAACTGTTACAAAAAGAACATTTCAAACAATGTACAAGTTTTTTTCTTGCCTCTATATTCAATAAAATACAAATACATTTTTTTGCTCTAAAATATGTTTACATACAATCAAAGTAGAACATGCAAATTACACTTTAAAAAAGGCTTTTAAAAACCACTTATGAATACAAACTAAAAATTAGCCAGCACGACTTATAGAACAATCTTGTGCCCCATTCGTTTGATTTTTTAATTTTTTGAAATACAGTATATACATATTTAACACTTCATGTGCATTTATTATTTAAGAAATAGCTTAAAAAATAAAGAAAAAGAAAAGTAAAACAAACCAACATGGGATTGAACTGCTTCCCCATGTTGTCCAATTGGCAGCTCTTTTCATGTTTTTATATTTTTTTCTTTTTCTTTTTTTTTTTATGTAGTGTTTTATGCGAACTAGGCAGGCATCTTAGGGAGATCTCCAATATGTGTTCTTTGTTGAAATGTGCTTCTAATTATCTCAGAACTGCTGCACCCCAGTTTTTGGATGATATGGAAAGAAGAGGCATTACAAGGGCAGGATGTTTATTTTTTCAATTTAGAAAACCATACTGGTTTTGTTTCTTGGATTCTTTTTTCCTTTTTAAAAAAATTTTTTGGTGTTTTTTTTTTTTTTGTTTCCCTTTTCCCTGTATTCTTTTAGTTGTTCTTCAAACTCTTCAGGATGCTCATTAGATGTTCTTATGTGCAGTCCTGAATCAGGGCCTGTGAAAATAAGAGTTAGGGAAAGCCTTGTGTTTGGAACATTGATTTATGTTTATTTGGTGCTTTATTGTAGTGCTCAGAAGTCCTCGTGATGAACTGGCACCCCATTGCACCAGATGCTACCCAAATAGTCACAATTAGAATATTCTGTGTTCCACAACATTTCTGCCAAATGGGCCATGCTGTAGGATACTTGGGTAGCTGATGACTATTTTCACCTCTTTTAAATTTATTTTTTCCATTTCTTTTTTACAGTTATCCAAAAACATGCAAGGTGCTTCACAGAAAATTTAATATGGAAGGGCTCAAGAAACTGGCAGCATGAAGGTCTTGGAGACACAAGTGGTAATGTTTTTTTTTTTATTTTTTTTATTTTTTTTCCTCTCTCCCTGAATATTTATCCCCATTTCTGGTTTTACACTGGATTGAGGAATAAAAGACCCACAGAGTGGATGCAAACCCGTGGCCTTATTTCATATGGCTCACAGCCACGTGATACTGTTTTGTGTTTTTATTGAAGCATGCTCAGATGTGTGCTAATCTGTGACACAGTGGAGGTGTTTGAAAGGTTTTTTTGGTCTTAGTAAGCAAAAGGGCTTTCACCCCAATATTATACAGTATTTGGAAATGTGTGGAGAGAATCCAGAGAGTTCCTCAGTAAATCTTCCTTGTGGTAAGGGAAAAAAGAAACCTCAAAAAGCTCATTACTGGAATATTGTTGGGTAATAAACGGCAGGAGTGGGATTTTAGCCTTAAGCCCTAAAACTAAATCCTTTATGATCTGCATGTAGTACATCGCCTTAAAATATTATTCTGTCAGCAACTTGCTTATCATTTTTATAGACTATGCAACATGCAGAACACAAATTCTGAGTGCCATCTAACAGTATTTTCAGTCTGCTGTTTATGACACTAACAAGCCACTCTCCCTGTCAGCCCAGGACCAGCTGCATGAGGGTGTTGTGTGGACAAACAGCCAAAGCTGAGCCACAGCACCACGCTCCACCAGCACCTTCTTGCCATGAAAACACAAACCTTGATCTTCTGGGTAGAGCCCATCCCATGCTGAGAGCTTTTAGCGACCAAGTCCTGAGCTTAGTTTCTCTAGGACAAATAGAACCCCTTCATGGTTTTGCTCAACGAAGGGTCTGTGGGGTTGTTCCCTCCATGTGGATGCTCTCCTTAAACACTGTGCCTCTAGCAGCCTTTTGGATAGCACTTTTTCGAAGGATAAGAGCATTCTTTTCCCAAATCTCAGGAGCTTGAGAAGCAGCAGCCACTCCATTATCCTTCCCTGGGGCAGCTTTATCCCGGTGTGTTCAGAAAGGTCCAGCCCAAATCCAGCCATTGGGGGCACCCTGACCCTCTGGAAGCCCCAATGGGCGTTGGATGGCAGAATTTGTTGCCTTCAGACCTACTTTTCACTCTCTACACACTGAAATGTCCTTCAGTGGAGGAAGGATATCACTGGAGATAAAACTGAGGATAAGTTGTTTGGCTTAATTTCAGCTACCTGGAATACCAAACTTATGATTTTTTTCTATCATTTTAAGTGACTGTCACCTACTTTCAAGCTCAAAGGAGATTGGGAGTAAAAGATTTATAAATTAACTAAACCTCAATCCAATGTTTTATAAGGAAGAAGAGAGGAGTTCAGTGAGGTTTAGGGTTTTTTTTCTGCAGGCCTACAACTTCAGTCAATAACACTGTGCTAATTCAAGAGAGCTGAAAAGCAAAATTGGTTTTAACAGAACGAGCAACCAGCCAATTTATTTCTAAGCTGCATTAATTGGAAAACAAAAAGCACAAATAGGTATGATGAATGATGCAAAACAAATTGGAAACAAAATTCTGCGATCCCTCTTATCAGTTTTAAGGAGTTAGGACCTCAAAATTTGTTCCAGTCTTAAAAAAATAAAAAATAATACATCCCCTCTTCCAGCTCCCCGACGCAATCCTATCCCCATATGCGTTCAGTTTTAATAAGCTAAGGTGCTATCACAGAAGAAAAATCAGTCTCTAAAAAACAACGAGTTGTATGTTTACAGTGTTCCTCTAACACCATAGTCTTGATATGATTTTTGTAAATAAATAACAGAATAGAAACACAATATTTTTTTGTGGGGACTTTTCGTTGAGTTTGTTGTTTTGCTTTTTTGGTGGGGTTTTCTTGTAGTTCTTCTTTTTTTGTTTTCATTTTTTTTAGTGTCGTGCTATATGAAGCTTCCTTGGCAATAAACCAATTCAAGATTTCTTGAAAAAGGGAATAGAATTTGGCTTGTCAACCATTAAGAAATTCCAATCCCCCCTCCCTTGGTGGAATCTTCCCTCCCTGTTCCCATTTTAATATCCATCTTGCCATGCTAGGTGTTGAGTGCACCGCAGGATTTAAAAAGAAAGGAAATAAAGTTGAAAGTACCTATTTCAAATTTCAACAATTTACTTTCTTTTTTTAAAAGCATTGACACTGCAATGGAACAGTTTTTTGTTCAGTCTTTGTTTTAGCGAAACATTTTAATTGGGCTGTGGATATGGAGCTTGGGTATTTTACCCAAGTTTTATCAATGGCTAACGGACAACTCGAATGAGAAATGTACAATTTGAACTGACCATTTAAAGAGACGATTTGTCACACACAGTTTGCATCCATGCAGACTGAGAGCTTTATAATTACATTATGTACAAAAAAAAAATTATTTTTTAGTTTATTAAGGCAACCACAACTTGGAGAACATGTCCAAAGTGGCATTAATACAATTGCAGTGGTGATACCCTTTGAACATTTTTATTTCTATTTTCAGATAAGAACACTTATTCCTTTTCTTTTTTTTTTTTTTTTCAGAAATAATTGCCAAGAAAGGATCTATTATCCATAGGGTTTTTTTTTTTTTTTCAGAAATAATTGCCAAGAAAGGATCTATTATCCATAGGGTTTGTTCTATATTTTTTTTTTAAACAATCTACTTTATCTATTTTCTTTAAAAGATAATATCAAGGCATTGCTACCCAAAGCAAATTATTAATATTCTGGTTTTCCCGTTAATTTCACTGGGAATTGCAGATGGCAAAAACTTGGTAGATTTGGGTTCTGGTTTTTATTTTATTTTTTCTTTTTGTGTCCTATTTTTTTTCCTTTTATCTTTTTTATATTTTTTTTTTTGGTGATTTTTTTCCATGTTTACTATAACTATTCCCCAGAAGTGTCTTGCTGTTCTCTACTCATATGTACCGAGCATCAAAACAACTTGGCTGATGGATGACCCCTTTTTCACATGCCATTGCCAAGTTGCTTCATATAAACGTGCTATTGTAACCGAATATCCGTGTATACCTTATTTTAAATGCTGTGATATTCCATCATTTCTTGGGATAGCACTCGGAATGAGTGTGCACGCGTGTAAGGCTCTAATTTTCTATTGCCTATATTGCAGCTAGTTGTAACTAGGCAAGAAAATGAAAAAGAAATATATAGTTCTAGCAGGAGCCAGGCATTTTGGCTTATGCTGTCCCAAAGCCTGGTAGGTATATAAAACTGGAAAAAAAAAAATCAAATAGGTTATAACCAATATCACAGTTGAGAAAATTACATTATTTTTTGTTGGGTTTTTTTCTTCTTTGTTTCTTTCTTTGTTTCTTTCTTTGTTTCTTTCTTTGTTTCTTTGTTTCCTTTTTTTTTTTTCCTTTTTTTTTGCTTTTTTACAGTGATTTATACTATGGTAAAGTTACTCTTAGTTTCACCTGGCCCACCAAACAGAATCAGAGTCGAGCATGCACCCTTAGTGACAACGTTCAGCTATCTGCGAGGATGACTTCCAGCCTCTGGGTACGGTATGAGAACAGCAATGCTGAGATTCAGATTAGTTTTGGAAACTCGGCAGAGTTCATGCTTTTTCCAACTTTGACACACATCCTCCTCCCCTGTATCCCCCACTTTTCCCGCGCCTTTCCCCCCCTCTTTCCTTGGGGGGGTGGCTTGGGTCAAAGCGATGAAGAGGAAAGATGCGCGCCCAGCTGGCACAGCTCTCTGCAATGAGTTCTGGCTGCTGAAGGGACAGGTCAGTCTGGTGCTGCCAAAGGGGTGAGGCCGACTGTGCACCTCCTGTCCCCCAGTCCTGGCGTGCTCCACTGTGGGCACCCAACATCTGACGAGGTGCACTGGCCTTAGGGAAGGCCTTCGCTTTCGCTCCCTCTGCCCTTGCGGTGCCGCTTCACTTTCACGTCCTCTTCTTCCTCCTGCGGGGACTTGTTTTTCCTTTTTCCGACCCGGGGCGCCCGGGGCAGAGGGAGAGGGAGTGGAGGGGGTGGAGGAGGCAGAGGAGGCGGCAGCGGTGGCGTCTCTCTAGCCATGTGTATGACAGCCTCGATGGTGGCCATGATTGTATCTTGAGTGGCTGCTTGCTCCAATATTAACGGGTTGAGTGTTGGTCTCTGACCTCTTTTGCTCGGAAGGTCAACGCATTTTTCCAGAACGGGCATTTGGTCTCTGGAGTCTTCGTCAAAGGAAAGGGGTTGCTTCCGAGGACGCCCCCTCCTCTTCTTCACGAAGTTATTGCCTGTCTTTGATTGTCTCTGCAGCCGCTTGGCTTTCAGGATCTTGTTCACATGGTCCAGGTTCTTCTTTGTGGACAGGATCTTGGTGTAGTTGCACATCTTGCGCACCTCGCACTGGATTGCTTCGATTTCACGGCGCTTGAACCTTTTCTTCAGTGGTGAGCTGGCTGTTGGGAGACAAGGAGAGAAACAGGGGTGGGTCAAACAACAGTGATTGGAAACTCTTCTTTTTTTTTCTAGCATCATCAAGAGTAGATGGAAATACAACTTTCATACAAGCAGTCTTCAGAGATTGCCTGTTCCCTCTTCTAAAGAAACAAAGCTTTTGCTACAGCAATGTTTTAGCATGAGTTTGCTTCATTCTCATTTTTCAACCTTTAATTGGAGAGAAGGAAGCTCAGCATAGCTGTTATATTGGTCCAGCTTAACTATTAAAACTTCTGTACCCCAAAGATGTAATCCTGATATCTTCAATTCAGCCTTTAATTCTTGTCACGAATGCCAGTTAGTATGAAAAGTGTTTGTTGCTGAAACTAGTGGGCAGAGACAAGATGTGTGGGTCACTTCATCTGTGGCAAATTCATTACCCCTGCCTGGGTTTCTGTACTATCATCTCCTCAGATACTAGCTGAAACCACTCAGTCATATAATTGACTTTAATGGCCCCCAAAGTAAGCTTACTCCTGGTTCAGTCACTTACTTTAGATCTGAACCAAGTCCAAAGTAGTTAAGTTTCTTGCCAAGGTCACGTTGTGAGTCATTGTCAGAGCTGGGAAGAGTACCCAGAATTTCTTGGCTCCTTGTCCTTTGCTTAGGACACGAGACCATGCTTGTTTTGCCTAAATTGTCTCATTGTCCTTTCCTGAACATGGCATCTGTTCAGAGTTCAGGATTTGCACACGGATTAGAAGTAACTACCCCTTTGTGAGGGAAGCAGAATGTATTAATTCTGCTATTGCAATAACTGGTGCTCCCTCTCACTCCTAACATATCTGTTCTGTGCTGCTGGGAAAGAAATGATGGAAGTCAGAATTTCCTTTTTGGTTAAGAATAAAACATCCTACTAAATTAACCTCAGCCCACATCTACTGGCAAACTTAATTTACACCTGACTGTCAAGCAGTCATTTGGGTTTGAAATCCTTGAAGTTTCCCCGAGCAGGCAAGATTTTGAGGAAAGGTTCATTTGGGGGTTATCTCTGCCTTCATGGCTAACAGGCTAATCTTCCAGCAGTAGTTTAAATAAAGTTGCTATTGTAGCATTTTCTGCAGATAACCAGGAGCTGTCAAGTTGTAGAATCTCCTCTTGCTCTCTATGGGCTGTGACAGATTCAGCATATAAACCTCATTCACTGGCCTCCCCTCTTGGAGAACATAAATTATTGGCTCTTATACCACCATGTTGCTTGGATTCAGGGAAGAGCTTGCATAAACAAACCCAAGTTACAATGTAAGAAGCAGGAGTGAGTCATAAACAAAACACAGACATATGCTCTCTTATAAATAAAGACCTGGGATGGCCAACTTCCCAAAGTCTGGTTTTCATTAATTACAAAACAAAATACATTTTCCATATGTAACCCACTCCCCACACCAAAAAGAAAAATAAAACCCATTTGCAGTTTGTGGTTCACAAAGGACAAAAGAAAAGAGGAATGCAGTCATTTTGGTACCAAAGGAAAAGAGAAAGGAAATGAAATATCCAAGTTGCTCAGGAGAAGCTAATTAGTTGCACAAAATTCCTCCCAAGTAGGTCACCCCTAAAAACTGTGGATTCAAGATCCCTAAAGGCAAGTGGCAGCAAGATATTTCCCAGAAATTTGATCAAAAAAGGTTAAGTCCCTGTCACAGAAAATGATTATTCTCATCTGTTCTCACTGGTGATTGACATAAGGAGTCCCAGTAACTTCAGCCTTAAGCATTAAAATCCTTTGAGTCCCACCCATATCCTGAGAGTAGCTTCAGGTCAGAAGATCTAAAAAATCAAACATTTGGCACATTCCTCAAGTTCACTGTCCACCTTTTGCCTTATATTTCTATTGTCAGGGCACATTTTCAAGTCCTAATTTTTTTTTTTTTAATAACAATATGTTAGGTGGTTTTTTTTTTTTCTGAGAGTAAATCTGAAATTTTTCAGTTGGTGATTGACAACGGAAAATTTATCAGAAATGCAGGAAAGCTTGCAAGGTATCACGATGATACCAGGAGATTTGGCTTTACTCTCAATATTCATTGGAAAGAAAGTAAGCCAAGGAACTGGGGAAAAAAAGATTGAAATAAAGCATTAGCCAAGTCCCTGCAAAGATGTTATGTGTTTACTGAGATTTATCTGCTGCCAGCTGTTTCTGCAGATTGGTGTTACCATCTGAGCATGGTCAGTGGAGACCTGGTCTGGACAGCTGGCAGAGGATGACCTCAGCTTCTAAACCCTAAAATGGGAACTCTATGCAGTTCAAGATGACCTTGCACATTGTTTTGATGTCCTGATGCTGGATAAGAACAGAGAGCTCCTGTCCATCCTGAAACCCTCTCAGGCACTCAAGAGGTCCCTCAGGCTGAGAGTCCTGAGTGGAGCCTGATTCTGAATAGACACGGCCCCAGTGGAGCAAAGGCTGGCACCTGCCTTCTGCCAAACTGCCCAATTCCCCAAAATTAACTGAGATGCAGGCAGTTGTGGGTAGGCTTCTGCTCCTGCATGTAAATGGATGGCTGAACACCACTTTCAGTGCATTCCTTCGTGTTTAGATACTTTTTTTGCCCTTTTAAAACGTTGCAAACTCACGAGTCTTCTCATTTTTGTGCTGAAACACATTTTCACATTTAGGGAAAAAACCCCTATGTGCTGTTCTGTGCTGGCTTACTGCACTAATTTTTCCTTTTTAAATGCTTTGGGGTGTTTATGGCTTTCTCAGGGAGCTAGTTAGAAGCTACTAATAATTCCTTTTCTTTCTTCCTAGCAAGCCTCTGAACTTGCAGGCTCTAGAAATCATCTGAGTTGTTACACAGTCTGCCAGTAGTCAGAATGCATGTACTGGGTAAGTACCTGTGCTTTCAGGTCAGGCTTTTAAAATGAGATATTAGGAAACCCAATATTATTTTGATTATTGAATGTCAGGGACATCTGATTCTACATTTGGTGTAGGAAGACTATGCAGAAAGAGTCTGATGGGCCTGCAGGGGGAAGCTTTGATGAGGTGTGCCTATGATAAAATATCAGGGAGATCTGCCAAAGTAAACTAGCATTGAAGTGAGAGCCATTAGGTGTTATCAACTCATCTGGAAGCTCTTGGTGAGCAACCTTTGATATAAAATATTTTCCTATATTGCCATGTGACATACTGCTCTGCTGAAAGCCAAAGCTATGCATTAATCTTTTCCATTTTATCCAGACAGACCCTGCCCAACCCTGGACCCAGTCTGGTCTGTGTTGGTCTTACTTTTTTGGATTTTTTTCTGGTCTGCCTCCACAAAGGCAAAATCCAGCTTAAAATGAAGGGAAAATACAAATGCTTGATGCAGCACAAGCTTTTATACTTTTCTCACTCTCCAAACAACCCCACCTAGCTGCCCCAAAACAAGGAAGAACCAATGTTAGCCTTAAACCACAGCTTCACACATTTCAAATAGGGCACATGGAGGCCTGGTGCTTCTTCCCTCCCCAGGGTCCACAGGTGCAGTGAGGCTCAGTCTCACAAATTAGAAATGGCTGCAGGCCCTGCTGGGAAGCCATACAGGAATGAAATGATGCTGGAAACAGCTTCTGAAGCAAAGAGAGCCACTCCTACCAAAAATACATACTTCCAAGGGGAGCTAGAGGAGGCTGAAAGACCCACCCCAGCAGTGATAGTGAACAAGGAGGTGAGCCCAGGTAGATCAGACCCTTTGGATGTTCTTCATTATCCCCATAAGTTAATTCTGGATGGCTCTGTTATGTCTGAAGCCCTAAAATCCTTCTTGCTGCCTGTTATTCTCCATCCCTTCAGAGGTGCCTGAGGCCACTCGCAAGAACATGGCACAGAGGAGGCTGCTCAAAGCTGGGGTCAATTTCTTGGCTTGCATTGGATGGAGGAATTTTCAAAGAGCTTCCTATTAATTACAGGAAACCCATAGCACTGTCCTGTTTTCCCATTAACACAGTTTCTTTTGGTTTTCAGCTAAATTATTTCAACATCTGGGCTACAGATAAACCAACAATTTAATTAGACTTCTGAAAATGGAAAGAATGAACTATGCAGTCAAGCATACACTTTCATCTTGTAACGGATCATAAAATATTTGTGTGCTTTCCTTCTCTGCTGCTTTAAAAATCTGTCCTTGGTTTATATATAGGAAAGTACTAAAGACTAAATAGACAATCCTGATTTTTTTAATATAAAAATTTATCTTTACAGAGGCTAATTTGCAGTATGAAACCCTTGTTTTCAGAATTTATTCAAGAAGTGAGAGGGAAATAAAAATAAGTGCGTTGAAAAAGCACTTTCAGCTGAATGATTAAATATGCAATAATTCTGTAAGTCAGTGATACAAAGATGTTTCTTTTGAATGTGGCATCAAAAGTTTGACAAGACTATGAAACTCCTAATGGCTGCATGTAGGGTAATGAACTGTGGATTCCCCAGTCACTGGAAATTAATACAAAATGGAAGATTAACCTCTCTATCCATGCCCAAGGAAAGGCATGATGATGCCTGAATGACTTGGCTCAATTTCCAAGGGTATAAAGATATCACCTTTCCGATCTGATTCAAAATAGAAGCACAAAATATAAGTTGATAGAAAAGCATGCTATTCTGACTTATTTATTCTGGTATTTTAAATCACTGCTCATTGCCCCAGACAATTTTGCATTTGCAAGACAGAATATTATGCTAAAATCACTGAAGTATGCAGTAAGAAATCTCATCTGCTCCTCAGCTATTCACTGTGTATTCGGTTTGTTCATGCTACAGGGGTGGGAGCATTTACAAGAAATGAAGAATGGGGCTGAGGAAGGAACCCAGGAGTCTTGCTTCAGAGTGTCCTGCTAGACAGGCTGGTGCTACTTGCATCCTCATTATTGCACAAGTGGTGGTGTGTGAATAAAATAGATTTGGTGTGCCAAGATCTACAGTCACGGTAAGAAAGCATTGGAGATGTTACACTCTGATTATCACATTAGATATTCATATTTGCAGCTACTTTTCCAATCAGGAAGGGAACTGGGTGAACATATGGTACAGCTCCAGAAGGAGGAAGATGGGGAAGAAACAGAGGGGCTGGAGTGAAAACAGCATTACCTGCTTCAGATGTTGCTGATGATGAAGGTAGGAGAGATAACACTGGACTTGGCATTGCAACACTGTCAACAGCTGCTGGTTTCCTTCTGGTCATCACATTACAGGCAGAACTTTCCATTTTACCATGAAGTGAAGTCTGGTCTGCTTTTAAGTGGGGACCTGCAATTCCTGGGGAAACAAAGTTTGGGTGAGTGTTAGTACTGTAACATGGCTGGGGATATATCTGAAAAAAAGAGAAGTAAGTTGCTGTCCTTGATACATTGATATATTTCCATATTTCCTTGTGGATGTATCTGTAATACAGTCTTGATACCAACAAAGATCATAACCGTCATCAGTTTTCGATAATTTTGCTGGAGGATGTACCATCACTGGTCTCTATAAACAATGGTGAACCAACAAAACATTTTACTTCTAGTACATTAGTGCATTAGTACTTTTTCTTCTAAAAAACCATGTACACTCTGATACATGTATAAAGACAGATATCCTTCTTAACTCTGTTTACTGGGAATGCCTATGTATCATTTCCTGTGCAGTTCATTCTCCACACATAGTTACATGCTTCTCTGCTATAAACACCTGACTTAGTGGGTGTTTCATCTGAGTAAGGAGCAGGCATCAGGAACAACCTCAATATGCAATTCCCATCCGGAGCACGTTACATTTATTTTTCAGGAATTCCCTTCCTAATTAAATTTGCCTTGCAGCTCATCAAAGGGAAGTGAGTTAAGGAAAGAAAGAGTTGTTTGTCATATGTCTTTCTACCTACAGTTTACAATGCAGAATAAATGAGTGGTAAAATAATGCCAGAGAAGTTAAATATTCCAGAAAAATAAAAGTTATGTACTTATGGCTGGCAAATTCCTTCACTAACAGTATTCCTCAAACTCTTGTGTAGTTTGTAACCATTTTGTTTGCTTGTAAATATGTGAAATTTAAACTCCTGGCATGGAAATTTGAAAACCTCTCCCAGTCTCTGTGATGTTTGGCTTATACATGATTAGGGCAGATATTCATTTATCAGAGATAATCCTTCATAAATTCCTTCTTTTTTCAGATCTCAACCTGCGCATGAGACTCAGATAAAATATACCAGATTTTGGCAACTAAATTATACAATGATTCAAAAAACCACAAAGCAGCTGAGGTTGAAAACTTCTCTTGAGACCACCTTGCCCACGTCACCCTGCTCAAACAGGGTCATCCAGAGAAGGCTGCCCTGGACCACATCTGGCCAAATGAGAATATCTTCAAGGAGGGAGAGTCCACAATCTCTCCCTACAAACTGTTCATCCCCTCAATAAATCCACACTGTTCAGGAACAACTTGTGTAAATGTTTCAGCTTGTGCCCAATTACTCTTCTCCTGTCACTGGGCAGCATTGAGAATAATCTTGCTCCATCCTCTCTAATCTTTCCCATCAAATATTTGCATATGTGGAAAAATCTCCCTGAGCCTTCTCTTCTCCAGGCAGAACATCCCATCCTTCTGAATCTTTCCTTATAAGAGAGATAATATCCCAGATTCTTCATAATCTCTGTGGTCTCTGACTGGACTCTCTCCCACATGTCCATATTCCTCTGGCATATCAGCCACTGCTCTGAGTTATGAAATTCTCCAGATTTGTGGAGGGTGTTCTCTACCCTGCCACCCTGCTCATTAATTGACATATTAAAAGTTTTTAGTCCCCATATCATGGAGTGCATCTCTACTGTCTGGTCTCTAAGTGGATTTTGTGCTACCCATCACAGCCCTATGAGACCAGCCAGTTTTCAGTCCATCACAGAGCGGATTTATTCTGCCTATGTTTCATCATTTTGTCTGTAAGAAGCTGATGGAACTCAGCGGCAGAACTCTTGCTAAAGTCAAGATAAAACCCATCCGATTGGTGAGGCATGATTTCCACTTCACAGATCTGTGACAACTACTCCTGGTCATCTTTTCCTCCTTCATATGTTTGGAAATGCTCTTCACAATTGTTTACTCCATCAAATTCTAGAGACTGAGATGAGACTGAACAGCCTTGCTGCTTCCTTGCTTTTGCTTCTTGACCTCATTGGACTGATATTTCTTCTCTTCTAGTCCTCAGAAACATCTCCTGATCGCCACAATCTTTCAAAAACAACCTAGAGTAGTCTCACAGTGATGCCAGCCAGATCCCTCAGCACCTTTGGGTACATCCTGCCAAATCCCATGGATTTATGCATGCCCACTTCATTTAAATGTTCCCTAATCAATCTTCCTCCAAGAGCAGGTTTCCTTTCCACAGCAGCATTACAGGCCTGGGATTCTCAAAGGCCAGTCCTACCAGTAGAGATCAAGGCAAAGAGGACAATAAGTCTCCTGCTGATCTTTTTCAGTCAGGGTCCCTGTTTCATTCAGTAAGGGGCCCATATTTTCCACAGGTTATTTTTGGCTGCTTTATGCAACTGTCAAAACATTTCTTGTTGGTCTTCTGCCCTAGATTCAATTCCAAGTGGGCTTTGCCTTCCTAAGCCCATCCTTGCATGCCTGAATATTGTAGATCTCATTCTCTGGCTCACCTGCTTCCATGTCTCTTTTGCTTCTTTTCTGTACCTGAAATTACTCAGGAGCTTCTTGGTCAGTCATGAGACTCTCCTGAAATTCTTGCTGAGTTTGATTTGCCACCCTGGTCTGGTTTTGCATGTCTCCACAATGTTCCTGATCCAACATTCCTAATTCCTTTTTCCCTAGGAGTAGAATCCAGCCCCCATCTGACCGTCCTGTCAGGGAGTTGCAGAGAATGAGAAAGTCCCTCCTGAGCCTCTTTTACTCCAGTCTGAGCCTCCCCCATCTCCCTCAGCTGCTCCTGCTGCTCCAGACCCTTTTCCCTTTTGTGTCTCTTCACTGCGCTCAGCTTCTCCATACACAAACCAAAAATTCCTTATATTTGCTATTTGGAGCTGCTATGAACAGTCCCTATGAACTTGGGTTTCTGGCATGTAAAAGGAGAAATATCAGCAGATCTGTGGGTTCTCTCAGAAGCTGTGGAAGAGATCCCTATCAGATTCAGGCACAGAAATGCTACAGTGAGAGGAGTCTAAAAGACAGGGATACAAATGGGCCAGTCTGGGAGAGGAGTCCTGATGAAAACGTGACCTGATATCAGCTGGTGGATTTAAGGGAGGCAAGAAAGGGCAGAAATGGTCACGAGTGAGACAGTGTTACAGGTCACAGCTTGGTGGGGATAAACAGAGCCGTCTCTGCCTATTAGACCACACATCTTTCCAGAGCCTCAAATCTAGCATTAAGCATCTCAAATTGTATCCATTAAACTTCAATCTCTCTCTGCTCGGCTTCTCTAGTGCAAATGAGAACAATAATATACCCCTCATCTCAAGAGCAGTCCTGTGAAAATAAAATTATCAACATTCATGAAACATTCATCTATTCATACTGAGGCTTAGAAATGTGGAATAAATGAGACATGATGTCATGCACTGAATAGCAAGAGGAAAATCCAGCTCCCAAATAGCTGTTCATTAGGTGAGCTCTATACATTGAATAAAGCAGTCTCCCATAGAATAAGTGAGATATTTGACTAGGTAATTACCCTTTGGAGCTCTGTGTATGCACACCTGAGGTCTCACCACTACACAGTGCTTGGGTTTGTGCCTTAACAATATTTATTCATGAGTGTAGTGGGCGCACAAAAAATGTGCACATGTGGGTGCATGTATCAATACACACACACATATATGCACGTGCATATGGTACATAATAATGCTAACAACCTCATAAATTCAACATCTGGTCCTAATTAAACTGAAGGGCCTATATAAAGAGCCGTATGAAAACATGCAGCTGTAACCTGTTGACCTCTATTGATAAAAAAAGAAAAAAGTCTGTGAAGCTGTGTTTCAACATATCAAGGGACAATCACTCATTTTTTCAAAGGTAATCCCCCACAAACCACTTATCCTCTCAAATCTCTACCTGCACACAGTGTTTGCATTAGGGACCTTGATTTATGGATCCCCACTCCTTGGATGGAGAGGCCAACTTCCTGTTGCCGTGGTTACTTAGATCTTGGTTCAAGGTTAAACTACTCCCAAATCAAAATCAGTGGCAGGCACAGCATCTAACAGCCAGGTTATTGACTACCCTAGGATGCTTAAAGGTCAAAGACCAAAGTGCTGCTCACTGCCTTTGGGGTGAGTCAATATTTTCAATATTTTTATTCTGTTTCTTCTGAAGAAGTAGTTGCTGCTCAATTACCACCTATCTGGGTTTAGCAAGGTCATACAAATCATTGAGGAAAGTCCTCCCTCTACAGAAGAGATACAAATGTAATGAATTACTTCAAAGTCTACATGGCCCAATTGCAGCTCATCACTGGTGAATCATGGGCTCAGACATCTGTCTCTTGTTTTTTAGGGGCTTGGTTTCTTCAGCCTGTATCCCTCACCTCACTGAAAATCTCCTCTATATTGAGGAAGAAGGGTAATTTATGGATCTGGAGCAGTCAATAAAGGAGAGCCATCAGTTTTCTTTCCTGGATACCAGAATGCAAACAGAGATTCAGAGGCATTGTTGGGAACACACAGAGGTGCAGCAATTTGCTGACAAGGTTTTGATGCATGCTGCAGTAGTGGAATGTCTGTCCCTCAGTGTGCAGACCTGCTGGTGTGGTATCATCACCTCTCATTGCATTTTTTCCTCTCAGTTGGGCTGCTCAGACGGCCTTGGGTAGGAGAAGGCCCTAGTTCAACCCATCTAAGAATCAGGTGAAAATAAGTAATTTCCAGGGATGTAAGAGTTTAAAATTCACACGCTCATTTGTTGAATCAGTATATTTTATCCTTTGGCACTGCCTCAGCAAGAGAGAAGATTCTGTGGGGGCTGGAGCACTTTTGCCATGGAGACAGGCTGAGAAGAAATGAGAGTTTTTCAGACTGAAGAAGGCTGTGGGGAGACCATACACCCCCTTCCAGTACTTGAAAGGAACCTCAAAAAAAAATCTGAAGAGTGACTTTTTTGTGCACCCCGATAGCGATAGGAGAGAGGGGAACTGATTTAAATTCCAAAAGAGGAGTTTTAAATATTACAAAGAAATACTTTACTGTGAGGGTGGTTCCCCAGAGCAGCTGTGGCTGCCCCTGGATCCCTGGAAGTGTCCCAGGTCAGGGTGGATGGGGCTTGGA